CCAAGCCTAAAGGTCCTCAAGGATCATTCAAGTGGCGTTCTGGCCAATCATAGTTAATTGCTCCGTTGCACTAGAGTGAGATGCATGTCTACCAATGGCAACAAACCATAACCAACTGCCACATTTACTGAAGAGAATTATGCTCATCATTATGGAGAGAGAGAATTGCCTACCAAACATATGGTGACGTACTATAATACAGTGTAATGAAGGCGTGACTCAACGTCACTAGACTTCAGGTCACTAGATGAGTCACATGGTTGGTCATTGAACAGTTCAAGCCCGCTCGGAAGGATAGGCACATTGGAGTATCGAACTGGTTGACTGGGTGAACAAACTACATTTTGCCGTACTCAAAGCTATAGAACTGGGCCCAATTGTTCGAAGGCGGATTAGCGCCTAACCCAGGGTTAAATTTAACCCGGGATTCTTTTTCTTTTTTTCAAAAGCATTTTCTCGGAGAATTTTCTCTGTTATTTCTAAGAGCATCCAATCATCAACTTGTTGACAGAAAGAATTAAACTGAATGTACTTTTTAAGCATTCAAATCTGATTTCAAATTTCGCACTAACCTTGGGTTATCTTAACCCAGCTTTGAACAACCCGGCCCCGTATCATAGCTGCTCCTTACTGAGGATAAATAAAACGTTACTGATAGAAAACATCGATCGTTACGTTATGAGCTCTACTGCTTTTAAATTAGTTCTCTTGTTCTTGTCACCAGATCTGGGAAATAAGAGGAGTTACTGGGAATAGAACTTAAGCTTTATTTAAATGTTGTCTCGATAATGTTAATAAACTCGAACCGCTTTCCTGCAATAAAACCATAAACGACAAAAAGTACTTTCTGTGGACTTTAAAAAAAACATTAATAATAAAAAGATAATGATCAATCAAGATGCGCCGTCGAATAATACTTATCTTTTTTTTGACCTAGAGTGACAAAGTCACTGTCCGATTCAGACCTTTCTTGACGGAATATGTAAGAGGAGAGGAGGCTCTGGGAATGAGTTTGTGAAAAGCACATGATCGGCCCCACCAACTCGGCCAAAACTGGGTCATGATTGCATTGTAAGCAAATTGAGCCATCAGGTCTACCACAGCTGTTCTCCAAAACCCTGGTGGCTCTATTTTGTAACGACACGTGGAGTGAAACACGGAATATAACTCATCATAGCCAAACACCTGTCGCCTAAGTAACCACTGTAGAGAAATGTTTTTGTTTCTAGAAACTTGTCAATTTAACTTAGGTCCGTATGAGCTTCATTGTTAAGTTAGACTACGAACTTGGTTCAGCTTAGACCACTGTTTAAGACAATGACTAAACCCCACATCTGTTAATAAGTGGATTATTTTCCGAGGATATTTTAACTAGATCAATCACTTTCTCAGTAGTGTCCGCTTTTTAACGCTTTGTGATGTTCACCGTAAACAATGTTTTGATACCAAGGTTGCTGACTTTCAAGAGGCTGAGTAAGCAGTGTTTTAACACTTGGGGCGAAACTCTGTTTCAATAACCAGCCCTTTCGTTCGAGATTCTTACGATAAAGTATCTAGTATAGCGCGTTTCTCAATTTCGAGTCTATGGTAAAATAATTCGTTGAGACCCCTTGACTGATCACGGGAGTTATGGGGCACTACTAATTAATTCTAGTGTTATCAAATAATATGAATATTTTTCTAGGAAAGAGTTTATTTCATATTTGATTGCCAAGTGTTCATTCAGAGCATCTGGTGAGCTAAATGCTGGAAGTAGAACTTGAGAATCTTTTGTCGGCCTCTCTGAGGCCTTTTTTCCGTAAAATATCTTTGCGGGCCTCACAATGGAGAAAAGAAGAACAATGAAGTCCACACGTGTTATATAGGAAAACCCAAATAAATGGTTTATTGTTCAACTGAAATTTCTGTCATAAAACCTACGAACTTTTACCCCGGTATTACGTTCTTTTAATTAATTTAGAGCCTATAACCGTCCCCTTCTAGACAAGTTTTTTTAAATGTGGTCACCTAGAAATAAATTTGATTAAAATTGAACAAGTTGAAAAAGTTTGTGCGCAATCATTTTATTTCAAAGACGGGAAAAAAAAACTAGCCACAATGAAGCATTGCGGTTAACTGTTGCATTCCCGTTTGCAGGTTGCGTTCTCCATGTAAGGTGATATGACGTCACAGCCTAGAGCCCCCATGGATATTTGTCATATAGCTAAATAAACCACTCTTGATAATTAAAATTACTTTTTTATAATTACCACTAATCATAATGACGATTTACGTCAACTGAAAGCCATAAACCGATCCAATTACCTTAACTAACAGTAATCGCACAGTATTCCTGTGAGTAGAAACAAGTGGAGTCCATATCAAGAGTTAATGCAAATCATGCCACAGGTGTAGACGGGACTGCGAAAAACAAAAACTATTTATTAAAAAAAAGCCCACGAAATCTATCCGCTTTTATGCTATGGGTGTACGTCTTTACTATGAAGGTTTTCCTATGTACAGTCAAATACAGACAGCTTAATCGTTTAAGAATGAAAGTCACTCCGGTGTGAGCGCAATTTGCGTTTTGTAAAATCGCTGTAAACCTATAATTACTGAACTGGTCAGCAAAATCTACTGGCGAGGTAGTATTTTGGATATGAAAAAGCTGCTTTTCGATTCTTTTAAAAAAAATAGATTGCGCTATAACTCAGTTCTAGGCAGGTTGCTTCATTCATCATTGAAAAGGCTTTGTAATGGAGACTATTAACATGTAAACATCTTACGCATGAAAAAGTTATCACAAGCCCTAGAGTAACCGATATTAAAAAGTGATTGTACCGTAAAATGACTAAAAAAGAAGAGAATCGCTAAGTTAATGGATATTCTGTTCAGAAATAATTGGATTTATTTGTAGACAATTTTTAGTGAGAGCTTGCTGAAAGTCTAGAGCGAAAATTCCAATAAAAATCCATTTTTTAACTTTACCTCCACGAACACGAAGATGGTGTCTAATGATAACACTATCTGCTGCTCATTGCGATTTCTCTCTGTGCTGTTGGACACAGCAAATGTAGAGAGACTAAAATGGATGCCTTGAGATATGAATACAAGTCACGTTGACCCAGCTTTTAATAGAAATAAGCCTAAGTCACTCACTGACCGAGGGAGATAAATCTTGGAGTGATGTCAAATTGTGAGACGCACGTTTAGTTATTACTTCTACAAGTAGTTTGAGAGGTCACCTATTTCAAGATATTTTTCGCTTCACTTTGCGAGTGTATTAAATTAAGCCAATTAAGTGCGGCTATTAAGGTATAACTAAATAGATCCCAACAGGCTACTTTTGCCAATTTTATGCCGGTCTAAATTCTTCTCATGCGGTGCTCCGCGTCCGAAGCTCATGAAGACCAGAAACTAAAGGGAAAATATCAATTAATGCGCAGCGTGAATTTTGCCTTTTGCCGTAATCAACAGTGTACGTTGTATTAAATAGGAAAAAATGGATGCTTAACGCGGGGCCGATCTACCTACCACAAGAACCTGTCTTCACTTGCATGCTAAAACAAGCAAGTGTTTATACCAAGTTCATTAAAACGCTTTCTTTCACTGAAATGCGTGCTTCTTTGTTCAGCCGATAAAAAAAAAAGAAAAAGGCACGTGGTATAGTTGCTAGGGGTTTTCGTATGCAAAAGATAACGGATAAACCGGGGCTCTCTTCCAAACCAAGTAGTTAAATTAACGATACCTTCTTAAAAATTAAGTAGCAATTGGTTAATTATTGATAAACTATTGTGCCAAAGAAATATGAACCATTACCGAACCCTGAAGGCGTACGAGGTAATCTTGACTAACAGTTTTACTTTTTAAGTAGAAACTCTTTGTCAGCGGGAGACCTTAATTATCAAGGAATACCTGCCGAGTTTANAAGCTCATGAAGACCAGAAACTAAAGGGAAAATATCAATTAATGCGCAGCGTGAATTTTGCCTTTTGCCGTAATCAACAGTGTACGTTGTATTAAATAGGAAAAAATGGATGCTTAACGCGGGGCCGATCTACCTACCACAAGAACCTGTCTTCACTTGCATGCTAAAACAAGCAAGTGTTTATACCAAGTTCATTAAAACGCTTTCTTTCACTGAAATGCGTGCTTCTTTGTTCAGCCGATAAAAAAAAGAAAAAGGCACGTGGTATAGTTGCTAGGGGTTTTCGTATGCAAAAGATAACGGATAAACGGGGGCTCTCTTCCAAACCAAGTAGTTAAATTAATGATACCCTCTTAAAAATTAAGTAGCAATTGGTTAATTATTGATAAACTATTGTGCCAAAGAAATATGAACAATTACCGAACCCTGAAGGCGTACGAGATAATCTTGACTAACAGTTTTACTTTTTAAGTAGAAACTCTTTGTCAGCGGGAGACCTTAATTATCAAGGAATACCTGCCGAGTTTAAAAGACCATTTAAATTCTTGCATCTAAGAAGACGCTTTCAGTGAAAAGAGGCCTTTGCAGTGTTAAGACACTGAGCTGACTGGGATTCTAGGCTTGGGTCAAAACGACATAACACTGAAGAAGGACGTTTTCTTGCCCTTTTGAAACTTGATCATCAAAGCTTTAGTTAAGTCTGAATCTGGAAACAGGACATTGTTAACCTAAAAACGGAGATCATAATTGTTGCCACTACAGAGGGACAACTACGACTTGGGAGGCGTTTAGTCAGTTTCAAGCCAAGATCGATCTTATTAAACTTTCCTGTTCAAAAAAATGAACTCGACTGGCAATCACACCAACTCCTTGGGCTCGGAAATAGTTGGAAATGGGAACGACTTCCAATTTTACAAAGAGGCACACTCATTGCAAGTTCTTCGTCTGATATTTCAAGTTCTTCTCGCCTCTGTCGGCGTAGCAGGCAATGCGATAGTATGCCTCGTCATCACCTTTCAGCCCCAGATGCATACTACTATCAACTACTTCATCAGAAACCTCGCCATAGCAGATCTTGGGATTCTAATTCTATCGTTCCCTTTAGCAGTTATCATGGAACAAGTACCTTCTCATTGGCCCCTAGGGGAATTTTTCTGTCGGTATATATTCCCCCTGTCTGATATATTTTTTGGCGTATCCGTTTGGTCGATCCGGGAGTAGCGACAACTAGCGGTGTCTCGGTATCATGCCCCTCGGGAAGGGTTCGCGCCTAGATGGCACAAGTTCAGTCGCGCAGCCTACCACCGATCGCAAACCTACTAAAGTAAAAATTAATAGAGCGAGCCGCTGTATTTCGTCATGAACTTCACCGATCATCGTCCCGTCGTCAACATAGTTGAATGTTCTCCCAAATGGCCAAACAAGGAGGAAGAAGACGAAATGAGACAGATTTACATCATTGGTTTGACTATTTTCTGGTATGTTCTACCACTTGCGATTGTTACTGTAACCTTCGGTAGCATTACGCGAAAGCTTCGTACCAGTACGAGGTTTAACAAATCGATAAGGGATGACGGCGGGCGAGATACGGAGAAGCGCGCTCGAAAAAGACTGCGTGAACGACAAAATAGCAAAGCAAAAAAGCTTTTGACCCCAGTAGTTTTAGTCTTCGCTGTCACCATGCTACCCCTAAATGTTTTCCGTCTCGTTTTTTTGTACTGGAAGGAATTTACCTTGCACAAATACTTTTGGGTTTACTACAATGTATGTGTGATTTGCGTCATCACAAACTCGTCAGCGAACTTTTTCATTTATTCTGTGGTAAGTGAAGAGTTTCGTCAAAGTTTCAAAAGCTTTATCTGCAGAAAGATGGGGGTACCTTCTAACAGTGTCACGGAGAGAACACTTCGCAGTCCCGCATTGAGCCCCATAAATCTCAGCCCTATAAGCAACAGAAATGATGAGGACCAAACTAAAAACAACAACACGGAAGGAGAAGCTTTAATGTAAATAAATATTTACCCACTAGCGTATATGACATGACTCGAATACCGTAAAAATTCCGAAAATAAGCCCCTCCATGTATAAGCCCCTTCCAAATATAAGCCCCCCAAAATCGTAACCCAAAAAACCCAATCGATTTTGAAACTCAAATTTCCCTCCGCACATAAGCCCCTCTAAATATAAGCCCCTCCAAAAATAAGCCCTTCAAAAAGGGCCTTTAAAAAATATAAGCCCCGGGGCTTATTTTCGGAATTTTACGGTATTAAACGTTTTGGAGTTTTTCAAATTTAGAAGGAAATGACGAAGTGAAATTCCTTTTCGATAGTTACTCGTGACTAGTCTGGGAGGTGACACTAGATGTGAATTTTGTTTTCTTCTATAAAAACGCATAATTTTTTTTTGTTTGGTAGTACTTTTAAATTTAGGAAACAGAGGGCCGCTAATTTCGGGTGGACACTAATGCAGTTGTTTAGGTAATGGCCATTAAGCGTTTCGTTTCCTAAATAGGAATTCCTTTTTACATCATTTCTTCTGTGAAAAGTATAGTTTACCAGGACCCTTCATTGATGAACATTGATATTATATTTACAATTTATTATTATCATTATTAGAATCACACGCATAGGAAACGAGTGAAAAACACATTATATCGTCGTTTTCTTCTCATCTTGTTGTTTTAACATTCCAATGCGTGAGCCCTTATGCCTTTTTTGCCCGCAACGACCGATCGACGGACTCACTCTATGAAAGAAAGGTCTAGAAGAAACGAAACAACTTTAAAGAAAAAGCTAACAACCAAAAGCTGTTGAGGTATTTCCTTTTTTTACATGTTTTCCACTTCGACTTGCTCACACAGGCATTTTTATGTTAAGCGTAGCTTTAGCTCTGGAGCCGCTTTTTCTTCATGTTTTATTGCTTTACGGCTTTCTTGACAGTAATCGCTGTTAATATTAATAGAGTAGGGATGCTTTCGTCAACGGTCAAGCGCAGCATGACTATTGAAAGAACCATGCCTTGTTAGTGTTTACGGTCTCTGCCAGTTATTACACTGGACTCAGATTTTACGTTGGTTTGAAATTTAGTACTTTTTTTCCTGATTTCAATTCTTCTTATTCCCGCCAAAGTAAAACAATCCCTGGCCTTTCCAACCCAAGGGCAGCATAGAAACCCGGCGAGAACCTTTTTCAACCCCGTTAGGACATTTATCCCACGCTACCACAATTCTTTCACCGGCAGCTCACTCCGTATACATACAAAAAACAGGTGAATCATTCCAGGAGCCCAAAAGATCTTTCGCATTACGATGTGGCCATCATAATCATGAAACCAGCCCTAGCTGCAAAATAGTGAGCGAAGACCCTTTATTTTCGGGCAAATTGGTTTGTTTGGATTTTGTCCTGGCCGATCCGGCAACCCTGGACTAATCAAGTAGACAAAGCTCTCTGATTGCAGCCTACGAAATACTAGAACCAGGCTCTTTTCCCTGCTCTCGATCCCTTTTAAACGTTTACAAATGATCGACAGCTTGGAAGAGAGTTAATAGTTAATTGAAACCTCGCAAGCTGACTAACTGTGATGGCAACGGTGAAGACCGCGTTGATTCAAAGCATTATAATAGTTTCCATCGTCTTGTCAGGTAAGAACATTTTCTAATCAGTTCATTCAGATTATTGTTTGGTCTTCAGTCTGATTTCAAGACTGGTTGTCTAAAAGAGGACACCTCACCATACAGTTTTATTCTAAGGCTACACTTTCCCGAATCATATCAGTTCAACCTATTTCAGTGACATAACTCCTTGGTATAAACATTTCTAACTTTTCATAAGCTGTTGCTGTTACCTTAATAAAACTTGATCGAAATTACAGATCGAAATAAAAAGTTTCTGATATAACTATCAAGACTTTCTAATTGTATTAGCTGATCATGAATATTAGGCAACAATTATCGCACGGGGCGGGGAATAAACCTTCCGACCGTTGGTCAATTCTGATTCACCCTTACCAACCAGATGGTGGATAGTTAAGCTCCAGCTGTAATTCAGATTCCTTGCTTGAAAATAAAATGTTAATTTCAAACACAGAAATCATGCTAAACTGATCAACTGCCGCAGTCAAGATCAGCTGAGCATGACTTCGGAATTTTAAGCACTTTCCTATTATCATGTACAAAATGACTCTAATAAACAGACCATGATAACTGCAATCATTCACGGTCGGTATAAATTATTCAGTCGAATACGGAAAGGATCTGAAGGAAATACCATGAGATTTATGTATAAGAATCAGTATATTTCCGAGCATGCTAAGAAGTCTAAGAAAAGTTCCAGGACTTTCTTTACTCTTACCCTTAGATTAGATTAATTTATTTTTCTTTGTTTCAAACTATTTGTCATCGCATATAAACATACTTTAAACAAACAGACACACTGGTTAGGTTGGCTTTGTGGCCCGTGCAGTTTATACCGCCAAATATCATAAACATGACCTCGATAAGTAATTTTAAAGCTGCTGTAAATAGTTGTATCTCTGCTTAAGTTTTCGTTTTATCAACTTAATTATTAACTGATTGTTATTTATTTCATCATTACTATACCACAATTATTTATTACCTTATTTGCACATATTTATTTATTCATTTTTATTCTTGCACTTTGGACTGGAATTTGCTAAATGTCCTTATAGGATTTTGCTAATAAATTATGTAGATGTAGATGTAGATGCGTGCTCAGTAAAGAGATCTCTGAATAAACATTTTCCCAAAGTTGTCGCTAAGATAATAGAAGTCCTTTAGGCCTTGTTGAAATGCATGTACTCGAGTAGCTCGCGATTTTCTAGAGAGCTCTTTAAATTAACAACGCAAATCAACTTTGTACGTATACATTAGAGAGAGACTCTCTCACCTGGCCGGCCTTTGGAGGGTTGGAGTAAAGAGACGGCAGACTGGGGTGGGAGCAAAGTTAAATTCAGAAGTGACGAGACCCTGTTTACATGGAGTGGGGGACCCCGGTCTAGTGGGGTAGGTTTCTTTTGTTTTGTGTCCCCCAGAGCGTGAAAACAAAAGAAACCAACCCCACTAGACCGTCTTTCTGTCCAAAACGGCCCAGCATGTTCCAAATCGGCCCTCGAGAAATTGGGGCCGATTTGGCCTTTGGGGTCGATTTGGCTCTTTTCATTTTACAGTGAGTGCAATCATTCACGGTCGGTATAAATTATTCAGTCGAATACGAAAAGGATCTGAAGGAAATACCATGAGATTTCGGTATAAAAATAAAGTATATTTCCTAGCATGCTAAGAAGTCTAAGAAAGATCCCAGGACTTCCTTTAACTCTTACCCTCAGATTAAATCAATTTATTTTTCTTTGTTTCAAAGTCTTTGTCATCGCACATAAACATACCTAAAACAGACACACTGGTTAGGTTGGCTTTGTGGCCCGTGCAGTTTATACCGCCAAATATCATAAACATGACCTCAATAAGTAATTTTAAAGCTGCTGTAAATAATTATATCTCTGCTTAAGTTTTAGTTTTGGCAACTTAATTATTAAGTGATTGTTATTTATTTCATCATTACTATACCACAATTATTTATTACCTTATTTGCACATATACTTATTTATTCATTTTTATTCTTGCACTTTGCACTGGAATTTGCTAGATGTCCTTATAGTATTTTGCAAATAAATTATGTAGATGTAGATGTAGATGCGTGCTCAGTAAAGAGATCTCTGAATAAACATTTTTCCAAAGTTGTCGCCAAGATAATAGAAGTCCTTTGGGCCTTGTTGAAATGCATGTACTCGAGTAGCTCGCGGTTTTCTAGAAAGCTCTTTAAATTAACAACGCAAATCAACTTTGTACGTATACATTAGAGAGAGACTCTCTCACCTGGCCGGCCGTTAGAGGGTTGGAGTAAAGAGACGGCAGACTGGGGTGGGAGCAAAGTTAAATTCAGAAGTGACGAGACTGTGAGAATGAAATAAAGGGAACCCCCCCTACACCACAGCATAAGACCCTATTTACATGGAGTGGGCGACCCCGGTCTAGTGGGGTAGGTTTCTTTTGTTTTGTGTCCCCCAGAGCGTGAAAACAAAAGAAACCAACCCCACTAGACCGAGGTCCCCCACTCCATGTAAACACGTCCTAAGATAAGATAAGATAAGATAAGCGACTTTATTTCACGAGGGTTACACGTGACAGTAATGAAAATTACTGATAAACTTGTGGCCCTCTACAAATGATTTAAAAAATACAATGAAATGAAATAAAAACTAGCGATTGGGTTACTATCACTGCAAATGGTCTTTTCTCGCACACCTCACACCTTCTCTCCCTCGCCGTATGGTAAGCTGCTGGATGATAGGTCCCACAAGATCATTCTTGTGATAAGAATTTGGATAAGCAATCCATGTTACACTTTTGACTCTTATAACATTCGGTGCATCCTCGTGACATTTACCACCAGCTGCAGTTATTGCTGCATTTCAGTCTGCCCTGCAACATATTCTTCTCCCTACAAACATCAATAAATAAATTAAAGCTAAAATACAATCACCGATTGAAGCTGTTTTTTCAAAACTTAAAAACGGCTGAGGCTGTTGCTCTTAAACTTTAAGCGAACGTCTAAAGGAAATTCCAAAACGCCAGAGTAAGTTCTCATCTATGAAGACGAAATCCTAAACCGAGCAAGGCCTGGAAAAATATTAGTTTGCCGGTCTTTGTTTGTTTATTTATTTATTCACTTCCACCATATGGTGCGGAACACACAACAGATCAGAGCTGCAATTTTAGTTTCAAAATACTTCATAGCCTCTTGTTCAACTTATGTTTACATACAGCTGCCACTGGTGACGAAAATGAAAGCGAACACCAGAGCAAATCCCTTATGAACTTTCTCCAGCATTTCAATCAGAATCGCCATCACGTTACCAATCCTGAAGGAAAAGAGAAAGCACGTGACTTTATCAAGAAAACGTTTCAAGATCTAGGACTTACCACGTGGTCAGAGGCGTTTACTGAAACAGGCTTTTTTAATCCGCAGGTGAATATTAATTTTCTGATCGTAGATGGTAATAAATACGTAGATATTGCAATGCATCTTTTTGTACTATAACCCATTACAACGTTTTCTTTTTTCTACTTAACACTCAGGGCCGGGTTGTTCGAAGCTGGGTTAAGATAACCCAGGGTTGGTGCGAAATTTGAACTCGGATATGAGAGCTTAAAAGGCAAATTCAGTTTAATTGACTTTGCCTACAATTTGATGATTGGATACTTTAAAACCGTAGAGAAACTTATCCGAGCGAGTGCTTTTGATAAAAAGAAAAAGTAACCCGGGTTAAAATTTAACCCCGGGTTAGCGCTAAACGGCGTTCGAACAACAGGGCCCAGTTCTTTATTCAAATTAAAGGCCCTCCAAACGCCCTTTTGGGCTGTTAGCTTGGTTAAGAAATATTTTGAGGAACAAGCCGCTACAACCTATGAATAGAACCAGGAGCTGATTGCTAGCAGAACATTAGAAAATTGACGTTGATACACCTATTTCATTTGATATTTGCGGCTCCTAATCTCAGTTTGCTACAAAACAAACTCGTTGACAAGAGATATCTATTCTGTCTCATTCAATCTTGCATTCATCCATTCACTGATTTATTTGTGATTAAGTAAGGTGGTAATGGCTGTAAAGTTGTTCAGATAACGCGTTTGTATTCATTTTCCGCCAAGCGGAAAATGAATATAATCATGTATTGATTAATTATCTTTTTAACCAGTATGCTACAGGAGTCAACATAATCGGGATGCTCCCTGGCACCCTTGCGGGCTCGCCTAATGACAGGCCGTTTCTGATTGGTTCTCACTACGACACGGTGCGTACTACGTCACACGGTGCAAACGACAATGGCTCAGGCGTGGCCGCCATGTTACAGGTTGCAAAAAATTTTGCCACAAGTAGGTGAACTATCTCTTGTTTTATTTTTCAAAATTAGTCAAATAATTCATCCCCTCTTGATTGCTTTATCTCTTCTCTCGTGTGTCACCTTTTGTTTCGTGTGTTGGCGATTTTCACGCACGCTCTCGTATTTCCATTGATCTAGGCCTATCCCTGACGAAAATAATATCCGCGGTTTCCTGGGCATACATAAAACCCTAAAGCGGGCCTCTTCTATCTATTTTAAAACTTACTGTGCAACTTCTTATTTAACTTTTTCAGAGATTTCAAACACTGTGCACGTAGCTTCAGCGTTCTGTTCGTGGCGTTTGATTTCGAGGAGTGGGAAGATTGTGACGATACGAGGAGCAACCCTAATTGCGCTTGTGGCAAGATAGACTGTGGAAGCAGAGCTTTTGTCGCAAACCTCACGCGTTTTTACAACGGGTCTTTAAAGTCAAACGGAAAGCTTCAGGGAGCGATTATTATGGATACTGTAATGAACTACAACAACACTCCAAACTCGCAGTCCCTGCCACATTTAACACAACAATATTTTCCCGAGGTTTATGGTCAAATTGAGGCTGATGGATTTCGTGGGAATTTCGTTTCCGTTGTTGGGCGTGAAGTTGATGATGCTGTTTTAATGGATACGTTCTGGTACTATTACAGTACAGTAAAATCTGGTAAATAATCAGTATTAATCCGGAATTTTGCTTGCATTTTGCCCAAAGCATGACTGATCCATGTAAATGGCGATTTTAAATTATAACCCTCCGATTTATTTAATTCAGTTTCAACTTGTTCTCATGAGAGCTTGGACCCGTTTGTTCTTCTATCCTTTTTTTCTGTAGCTTCCTCAGCGCCCGCCATCCACAGACCAGCTCCACAGTGACATAGCTACACAAAGTCCACCTGAGTACAACGCAGTTCACTTATGCATATCCTTTAACTGCTCTGGTGTTTCTTTTCAGATTTTGTGTTTCATAGTTTTTATTTCTTTTCTATCCCTCGTAGTGACCGTTAGTGACGTGATTGGATTCTCTTTTCCGTATCCAGTGGAAACATTTTTTTAGTAGTTTTCAGTGTAGTTGCCTGGTAAAATATAAAGCGCTCTTTTTTCGAGTTTTGACTTATGGAGAGTTATTAGAGTTCATTTGAAATGACAGCCTGTCAAGCTCTAGTCCAATCACAGTTTCAATAAAATAACTATCAACAACTGAAATGTACTTGTTTGCGTTATTCGCACAGGCGCTCACCACTCGTTTTCCTACTTCCAACATATTTAAAACTAATCGGAGGGTTATAAAATATATAAACCTCATTCTGGCGTGCTGGAATATCGGTGGATAGTACCTTTGGCCGAGAGATAAGTTGTCCACAAAATATCACATATTTACTCAGCCGCGGGCATTATCCTTCGATATAGCAGCCACAGGAAGGGTATATTTACTGACTGGGCCGGCCCAGTATATCATATTATTCCATTCAACAAAAATTCCGGTATGAAATTTCGTAAATTTCAGGTGCCCAATGGAACGGTTATCCGGTTGTACAGACCCAATCCACTGCGCGTTTGGTTATTGCAGTTCTTATAAGCAGTATGTATAAGGGCGTTTCTGGGGAAACAATTTTTTTAAATGGAAAGGGATATATCTGTCCGAGCAACCGAAATGAGCGGACTGTTCAAAGTGGACCACCTTCAAAATTAAAGGTGGTTCAGAATATTCCGGTCGGACCGAACCGAAATGATCCGTTTCATTTGATTTACTAAAATAACTTGCAATGCTTTATTCATTTACCCTCGTGTAGCTCTGGAAAGTAAAACTAAGATGTATCCAGTAAATCTTCCATTCCGTGGCCAGCCTGACGAGCTTCCACCCCTTCGGTATAATGCTTTTAGAGACTTTTTGAGAAGCGACCACGTGTCATTCTGGAACAACCATCCGTCTATGAGCGCGATCTTCCTGAGTGACACCGCTGACCTCCGAAGCTACATGGTCTCTTGTTACCACAAAGACTGTGACAATATCAATAGGGTGACAAGTGAAATGCTCCAGTTCTTACAGAAGACATCTGACTCAATATTGGCCGTGGCCAATGATGTTACCAAGGTTTCATGTCCAGCCGTTGAACAGCAGAAAGGAACAACAAACCCGCAGACCGCAGGTAGATATATCGACGATGAAAGCAAAGAAAAATCGCCTCATGTAAGGGAATCTGGATTGCAAAATCCGGGAAATTTTTGCTTGTGGATTCCAGAATCCGGGAAATTTCTGCTTGTGGATTGCGGAATCCGGGAAAATTTCACTTATAAAATCAGGAATCCTAGGTTTTGGAATTTGGAATACAGCTCAAGGAATCCGGAATCCCATTAACGATTGGAATCCAGAATCTAATTTCTACTGGCAAATACTGGAGTCCAGTACCTGGAATCCGGAATCCACAGCTTGGAATCCCGAATCCGACTAGATTCCATTATATGGGGTGAAAAGAAGGCACACTCATAATGTAATTGATGATAGGAAACTTCTTCTTCAAATTCTTCTTTCCATCAATTATCCTATCTGCCGTGATGTGAAATGACGGCAATTTTACTGTAAACCTTAGAAAACCGTGAACACCAGAAGAAATCTCTGTCTTGTAAGGAAGACGACAATCGGGCGTGAGACCACACCGCAAGCCACAACGGTAATTGTAATGTGATTTTGAAGCTTTTTCGCGATTTCTGCCTTTTATTGTGATTGGTCATAATTTTCGTGTGGTTTTGACAGTGAACAGAAAACAGGGGATCTCATCCCTCAGCCCCATTCCCCAGGCAGTCCACATGACGATCCCTTCACGGAATGCCCTGGGGACAAAACTGCCCCCTAAAAAATCTATTTTAAAAAAAAAAACAAGATCAAGCCTTACTTTTTGCACTACTGTTAAACCAAGCAGAGCTCGCGATTACAGAAAACGCCGTTGATAGTTTCAAATAAACTAGCTGAGCTAGTTTCTTTATGAGTAAGCAGAGAACAACCAGAAGAACGTTAGCCCAGCCGGTCAAGTCAAAGTTATGGTAAAAATCCACTAAATCAGATAGAAACACCTTCAAACAACCGGTGGGCTTCCTATGTGAGTACAGTCAATGGGTATGCTACAATGTTTCAGCGCTTGCTTGGTTTGAGGCTTTCAGATCAGATGACGGTGACTGATTTAGTGGTCACCTTTTAGAAACTACCAATCCTGCTTTCAAAACATCAACGGTCTCCTTAAATCTGTTGCTTACAGGTGATATTGTATCACATGTAAATATGTGATACGTCGACGCCCCATGTTACGAAAAGAGATGTGATCATGCGTTGATGGTATACTATGTAAGATAACAACAATATTTGGTCATCTTCTATGTTCATTTTTTACCTTTCAGATGAGGGTATGAAAGCATGGAACGTTGCCTTTCTCTCTATTGGCATGATTTTGCTCGGCATGTTTATCGCATCAGCAGCCGTGCAGGCTAGCATCTGGATACGATCGCCTGAAGTCCAGTGTGTTAAAAACATTTAGCGGCTTTGAAGAATAAAGTTGGGCTCGTCCTGAACAAGCATTGTGTGACGTCATAACGTAATAATAATAATAATAATTAATAACAATCTTTATACAGGAACCCACTTCACAAAGAGTGATATTTAGGGGGACCCTGTAAAACAAGAGAAAAATAAATGATCTTAGATAAATGAATACGTAATAGTAATAATAAGTAAAAAGTTAAGAACTAAAAAGCTAAATTATACAAGCTACAGGTTAAAAATGTTAAAATGTCAGATAGATTAAAATATTAAAAGCTATAAAATATCTAAAATATTCAGCTTTTAATGTTCTGTTTAAGAAGAAGAAGAGAGTTAATTTCTTTAAAAGATGCGTCTAAAATGTTCCATTCCTTAGCGCATCAGTGATAAAAAAGTCTCTGCTTTCCGTAATTCCTTTTAGCGAGAGGAAGACGAAAATCTTTCCTACTTCTAGTGTTATATTACATGCTATGGATGTCTGAGTTTCTCAAAATATTAAAATTGTGATCCACAAGTCCGTGGGAGTACTTAAAAGTCAGTGGTAATGTATCTATGCACAAGGCGTTCTTGAGACAAGGTAGGCCATCTGAGTGTTTTGAGAGCGTCGGTCGGTGAAGCATAGTTGGGCAAATCAAGGATAACTTTGGCAGCCTTATTTTGCAAGACCTTTAAATCATGCACTAATGTAATATTATCTCTGTCTTCCCAGATGGTATCAGCAAAGTCAAAGAGAAGTCTTATTAAAGCATTGTATAATGCGACTAGTGCATCCAAAGACAATAGAGTACTAAAGTGATGACGTCATAAAAATGAAATTTCTGAAATTATGGTATTTGTCAGGATATTCTGAAAGAACAATGTCCAAGAGGCCTACTTGCCAAAAATGAGCATTTGGGGGCAAATTGTCTCTGAGATCATAGCCCAGTTATACTCAGAAAACTCCATACAAACCCTTCTAAATTTTTTTTGGGTCGACCCCAAAAAAATTTAGAAGGGTTTGTATGGAGTTTTGTAAGCATAACTGGGCTACGATCTCAGAGACAATTTGCC